TTCAAGTCCTCCCCTTGGTATACAGGATATTGAATGCCAAAATAACTGGATACAAGGATAGTTTTTCCCCCTGTACCATCAATGTGCTGCACACAATTCTCACAGTGCCATCTAATGTCTATGTAGTATGGTTGTAGTATTATCATTTATCCTTCTTATCTTCTTTACTCCCCTGTCTTATTGGATGATGGTGATGATGATGATGATGATGAGTCTGTTTTGCATGTACATTGAGAGCTTCTGCAGCAGAGACAAATTCCTTATGTGTCTAATCACACTTGGCTGAGTAAAGCTACTCTACTCTACTCTACTCTATTTGAACCCAGCTTCTATTCAGAGTTTTGCAGCATAAATTCAGAAAATTTACTAGAAAAGTAAACACAGATGGCTGAGGCTTCCTTTAGCTTCTTTATAAACACAAGTAAATTTTACAATACCAGTTATAGATTTCTTCAACATGAAGCAAGCTCAAACAGAAGCAGATATGTTAAAGGTTCAGAGCTGAGCTCTAGTTTTCAGCAAGAAAGCAAGAAAGTTAGTTTCTCTTTCACTTTAGAGCTGAGCACAGAATAGAAATAAACCACGCCCAGATTCTCTCTTTAAGTTTTAGCCCTCAACTCAGCTCTCATTGGCTGACCTTGTTACTAAGCTCTATTCCAGTTCATGAATATACTCTGACAGCTTCTCTTTAGTATGGATGCGGTAACAGAATTCAATCAGAAAGGTCGGCAGTTTGGCAGTTCGAATCCCTAGCACCGCACTACGTTACTTGTCCCAGCTTCTGTCAACCTAGCAGTTGTAAAAATGCAAGTAGAAAAATAGGGACCACTTTGGTGGGAAGGTAACAGTGTTCCATGCTAGTCATGCCTGCCACATGACTACAGAGACTTCTTCGGACAACACTGGCTCTTTGGCTTTGTAAAAGAGGTGAGCACCACCTCCTAGAGCCAGAAACGACTAGCACGTATGTACGAGGGCAACCTTTACCTTTACCTCTCTTAGTATATGGAAATCATTGTTTCCTTGAAATAATGGATCAAAAAGAGAAAGCTACATTGTGGCTCATCTGTCAGCTCCCTTGGGAGGAAAATATTGAAGATGAGAGAAAGTTGAGTGGAGCTTCCTAGTCGTCTTGTGTTGTCCCATATAATTGGAAACCAGGATGCACTACCTGAATAATGACCAAATGTACATGCACTAGTATGTGTGCATCACAGTAAAAGAAAAAGCCTAATTTGGAAGATAAGTTTGTTTTTCGGTGTGGAACATTTGTTTTGGTCTTTGTAGCCCTGTTTTTCTAGGGTTCAGAGGACCAAACATTACCAGTCCATTGAAAATGGTTGAATGTGTTCTGGCTCTTTATATAAAGAAATTGGCAAAATAAAGATTCAGGCATTTTCATATAATGAAATATGTATTAAATTGCTTTTTGGATAGAAAAGAACCCAGTTCACATTCTAAAATAAATGAATGATTTGCAGTCCTAGATATTTACTAGTTATATATTACTATGTACATATAGTAATTACATTGAGAGGAGAAATATTTTTTCATAACAATTAATGTTTGTAAATGTTTATGGAAGTACATAACAAATATAACAAACACATGGACTAATTAAGATGAAAAGAATGACAACCCTTGTGGCTTGTTCTGAAAAATAAAGAACATTACAATGGTAAGACTTAATTATTTCTGTAAACATTTCAAATGACTTTCCATATAAAAATGGAATTTCTAAGCTAGTTTATATCTTCTAAACCTTTTTGACATTTATATATACCATGTCAAGAATAAATTACTCCTTATTTATTTATTTACTTTATTATGGATTTTAATATATTACCATTTATGACCGCATATTTTTGAATTTTTAAAGGCATTTATTATTGAATCATAAATGAAAAGGCTTTTTTCTTGTGGTTTTTACATTCATACATACATTCATGCAGTACAAAAACTCATTGATTGAACATTAATATATAATTACTTTAGTAGTAAGGTGAATTTTCATTTATATGTCATACACAAATAATACAGTTCTAGCTGTGAGATATATTATCGCATCATACCATATATGTGTGCGTGTGTAGGTGTGTGTAAACACACCATATATAGGATATATACACACTCATGCACAAGCATACACATATGCACATAAATATACAAGTATACACACATACCCACATACCTCAATGAACAAAATATGGAACTTAGGAGCCAATAGTAGTTAAGACACCAGGCTAGAAATTGGCAGATAGAGAGGTATAAGAGCTAAATGCAGCCAAAACCAAGAAGAGGCAACTATAGTAGTAAGCAGGGATATTTCTCAATAAGACTGCAATCTGCATAACCACATAAACTATGAACAGCTAATGTCTCCATTAGTAAGAAGAAGTCACGATCTGTCATGTGACAATGCTGTGATGATGCGAGTTTGACACCTCTGGTGTAGAGGGATTTCACAAACGTTAAATGGGACCTTGTAGACCTTGCCAAATTAGGTTTGGTAACACTCAACTAGGAAAAACTACTCACTAATCTTTCTGTTTGTATTAAATCTCGGTTTATTGCTGTCATTCATTCTGGTAGCCAAAATAAAGGAGGTGATTTTTTAAAACAAATCCTTAATGCCAGCAAGCCAAATCATTGTGGGAAATAGGCAACCAACGTCACTCCACAGAATCAGACGAAGAGGGGCAATAATCAAAATACATGTTTAGGTATCTCATCATTCTTTACTGGCCTATTGACAAAATGGGAAATCAGTTCGCATAAACATCCATCTGTTTTAAAGATGACATTTCTACCGACCAAAGACAGATGAATCAGTATATAGGTTATGGGTATCTAATATATTTCATAGGTGCCTAATGAATGTAAAAGTCTGAAGCAGTTCATTCATTTGCATGTGAGTTTGGATCACTCTGTTTGTTTCAATTACGGACAAATTATAGTTGCACTGTGTGGCTGACTGTGTCATTGTGAAGAAGGGGACATCATTTTGGCATTATTATTTGAAACAGATGAACATTTAATAAATGTGTGTGTGGTGCTAATGTCGTATGGTGTATGGAACTGCACCGCATTATTAATATTTTGCAGCATTGATCAGGTTGGATAAGAATAATGTAAAACAGCAGTTTAACTGTGCTCTTATTTTGTAAGATAACATGTTAATGATGTGGCTGTTTTAATTTAACTTTAACAGACAATTTAAATATAGGTTTCCTTTACAGAGACAAAAGTTGCAATTTAAAGCTCTTTGGTAGTCTAAAAACAGCTTAATTCTCTAGTAGCATAGTAATAAGTATTAATCCAGCTTATGCAGTGATTGCAGTATGTCATGCTTGTGAAAGATTGTCTAACTGGGTTTTCTCTTGGCTTTAGGTATATGTCTGTTTCAGTGCATATCTATACACATGTACACAATTACTAAATTTCTTATGCTGAGACAAGCTGTTCATTTTAATCGACATTCAAACAGCAGCAGAAATCACCCTGTTTCTAAGGTTTCCTCAACATCACCTTGTCTCTTTACCTCCCATGTAGACTGGGTGAGAAGATAAAATTACCTTGCTGTTTATTTCATAAGTGGAGGACAATGTGATAAAGGTTCATTTTTTAGAGTTTAAACTCCCTTTCCTAATCAAGAAATCATTGTGACTTTTATTTTTCCTAGTGGTTGAACAGCATCCTTAGAATTGATATGCCCGAGTCAATTTTTATGCTTTGGGGGCAGTAGAGTTTTGCATCTGAGTTTTTGGTTTCCAGAGGTTTCAGTGTGGTCCGGAGTTTTTGCAGGAGCTAAATAAATTTCCCTTCAAAGCTAAAACACAAAACAAAATTCAGACCCAAAATACTGAGACCATTCGCTTGGGGCTCAGTCCTTGATTTAGTTCATTAGGAGATGGAAATTCATTGTTAGGTATCTTCATCATACAAACCCATCACCCAGCTCTCTTCTAAATGAGAAAAATAGGTTGGACAAGAAAATAGGTGTGACTCTTCCTCCAGAAACTAAAGTTTAATATAATTTAAATTTGTGCCTAACTGTGGCAAAGGAAAATTGTAGTTTTTAAAAATTAACCAGGAAAATAATTTTTGGGTTCAAATATTCATTGGAAAGTGAATTAGATACTGAGTTTTTAAAGCTTGCCTCTGCTTATGCTCAGGCCCAACTCTGATTTTGGTCAAAAGAAACAAAATTAAATTCGTTTCTTGAATTTATTCGGAGAGAGTTGCATTAACCAGCTATTAGTAAATAACAGGTTACATCTCTGAACATATTTCAGACTCTGTTGCAACCAGTCAGTTTAACCTTACTAGTGGTATTTGCAGCCCTATGAATCTCTTAAAAGGTTATGAACTATCTTTCCCATTATTTATAATCTCATAATAACAGATGGGAGCTGTGCAGGATATTTAATAAAAAAGGGAAAAGGAAATCTGAGCACAAAAAAATAAAAACCACAGTAGTTATTGCATAAATCAAAAGGTTTTATGTCATAACAGGAACATGTGCCACACTTGCTTGTATATTGAATTTTAGTAGTTGGTTGCATCAAAAAGGGAAGTGTAATGAAACTGCAAGGAAAGTATTCCCCAGCCAGCCTGATCTTTGTTCTGTTTGTCCTTCAGACGTAGCTTTTCTTGTGTTTTTCAATAAAACCCACCCAGCTCCTTACTTTCATTATTTTTATTTTTATTTTTATTATTATTATTATTATTATTATTATTATTATTATTATTTCATTTTGCATCTCTGTAATCAAGCTGAGAAAACCAATGAGATTCAGTGCTTTTCTACTCGAATCCTTACCTGTTTTTTAAGAGATCAAAACCTTGAATGCTGCTACATGGTATTAAGGCTTAGCCACTGATATGTCCCTATAGAGGTTATATTTTTCTTGTGGAGAGATGGGTGGGAGGGAAAGGGTGAAGGGTGACACTTTTGAACAGGCTTGTAGACAGTAAACACTGCTTTCCTTGTTTCTTAGGATCCTCTTTGCAAGCTCGGTGCTTAACCTGACTGAACTGGTTGCCCTTCGGCCTGACCTTGGCAAATTGAAAAAGATCCTTTACTTCCATGAGAACCAATTGACATATCCTGTCCAGAAATGTCAGGAAAGGGACTTCCAATATGGATATAACCAGATTCTTTCATGGTAGGTACATCTTGTACCCCCTTGTGGTTAATTATTCTATCTTTTAAGTCACTTCCATTCATTCAACATTTATAGAATCCTAGTCCTTTTCAAGGGATTACAGAGGAATGGATCAATGTACGTATCAAAATATCAGAGAAATAATACTGTATGGCATCTGTATATTTGCCTTGTAACTAAACTGAAAGATGAGCAATGATCCAATGTCGCTGATTTTTTTTTTTTTGCAACGTCCATATATATATATGTGTGTGTGTGTGTGTGTGTGTGTGTGTGTGTGTGTATGATATTCAGCTTTGTTCGGGTATTTTCCCACGTCATTGTAGTTGTGCTTTTAAAGTTGTAGCAATGTTTCGGCAGAATCTCATCTGCCATCATCAGGCTTCTGTATTGTGATGATGGCAGATGAGATTCTGCCGAAACGTTGCTACAACTTTAAAAGCACAACTACAATGATGTGGGAAAATACCAGAACAAAGCTGAATACCATACATATAAGTACCTGCGAAAACTTAGGAGATAGATGCATTTGCTTTGCTTAAAAATTGTGCCTAAAAATAAATAGCAGTTGATGTAAAATCATGCTTAACTTGATTCAGGAAATATAGTTAGTCCTATATAGTTATCCTCACTTAAAAACAAGGACTGGGACCAGCATCTCCAGTGCAGTTGTTAAGCAAGGCATTACAAGATCACAACAGACTTACAACATTGTAAGTCTTAACACTGTGGTTACTGCAGGTTGCTATATCAGATGACTGAAACTTGTAGTTTTACTGCCAGCTTCTCAGTTGATTGGCAGAAACTGTCTGTGAAGCATGCAAATCCTAATCATATGACTTCAGGTCATAGAATTGCAGAACTGTGATGATCATAAATGCCCATTGGATATAGAGTACCCAAATCTTTATCATGTGTGAGGACAGGTTATAAGTTATTTTTTTCGGCTTTTCGTGTTTATTGTAACAGACTAATAACAGTCTAATAAAGAACTACTAAAAGGAAAACAACATTCCTGCCAATACTGATAGGGAAGCCACTGTTACAGACAAAGCAATCTCCCTTCCTTTCTATTGCAGATAGTAATGAAACATCTGCAACAAAACAACCAAGCTCAGAGAGCATCAGGGACCCCACATGAAACAAACAAAATGTTAAAAAGTTATATTTATGTAATTACTTACCAAGCACATCCAAATTATATTAAAGTGACCAAAATATCTTTATAATCCCCAAGGCATGTCACAACCTTTGAACACTTAATGTTTGAAAATTGAAAGTTGGAAAATTTGACACACCCTACCACCCACCGTTCAACTGTGAGCTGTAAATATTTCCTTCTGTTAGCACCCATGGTCCCTCATACCTTTCATATATCAGCTCTCATTAGGTCTACTGTTGTGCTAGCATTCCATCAATTCCAGGTTCTCTTGTCTTTATTTATTTATTTTATTTATTTATTTTGATCTGTCAATCGCTTACAAGATAATAGGTATAAGTAAATACATAGTTATGAATACATGAAATGGGTACATATAAGAAAAATAAAAGAAACAATAGGACAGGGACGGTAGGCACGTTGGTGCACTTATGCATGCCCCCTACAGACCTCTTAGGAAAGGGGTGAGGTCAATAGTAGACAGTCTAAAGTTAAAGTTTTGGGGTTTGGGGAAGAAACCACAGAGTCAGGTAGAATATTCCAGACATTGACCACTCTGTTGCTGAAGTCGTATTTCCTGCAATCAAGTTTGGTGCGGTTAACCTTGAGTTTGTATCTATTGCGTGCTCTTGTGTTGTTATGGTTGAAGCTGAAGTATTCATTGACAGGTAGGACATTGCAATGTATGTTTTTATATACCGTACTTAGATCGGACCGAAGATGGGGTAATTCAAGGTTTTCTAGGTCTAGAATTTCAAGTCTGGTGGCATAAGGTATTCTGCAACGAGTAGAGGAGTGGAGAACTCTTCTTGTGAAATATTTCTGGACTTTCTCAACTGTGCTAATATCAGATATGTAATGTGGGTTCCAGACTGATGAGCTGTATTCGAGTATTGGTCTAGCAAATGTTTTGTATGCTCTAGTTAGTTGTGTGATATTATCAGAGAAAAAGCTACACAGGATTAGGTTAACAACTCTTAATACTTTTTTGGCTATGTAGTTTTAGTGGGCTCTAGCATTTAGATCATTAAAGATGAGTATTCCAAGGTCCTTTACAGAGCTTGGATCATCAACAAGGTCTTGACTATTCAGCTTGTATTTTATTTTCTGATTTTTTTTGCCAATATGTAAGACAGAGCATTTTTTTGTTGAGATTTGAAGTTGCCATTTGTTTGACCATTCTGATACATAGTCAAGATCTTTCTGAAGGGTAGCAGTATTGTTTGTGGTATTGAACAGCTTTACATCATCAGCGAAGAGAACACAGTTACTCTTGATATGATCACAGAGGTCGTTTATGTAGAGTATGAAGAGAGTTGGTCCTAGAACACTGCCTTGGAGGACACCACTATTGACAGGTATAGAATTTTATAGGACACTCCCAATTTTGACGATTTGTTGTCTGTTTGACAGGAATGCTTCTATCCAGTTATGCAGTTGTCCAGAGATATCATAAGATTTTAGTTTGGGAGTAGTTTGTCATGTACCATTGAATCAAAGGCTTTACAGAAGTCTATGTAGATTGCGTCTGTTGTTTTGCCCTGATCGAGTTGTGTAGTCCATATGTTTTTGCAGTGTAAGAGTTGCAGATTACAGGATAGTTTTTTCCTGAAACCAAATTGTTTATTAGAGAGTAGGTTATTTGTCTCTAAGTGGAGGATAATGGATTGGTTAATAATTGATTCCATGACTTTCCAGGTGATGCAGCATAAAGAGATTGGTCTGTAATTTTCAACTCGGCTGGGGTCTCCCTTTTTGAAGATGGGGATGACTGTGGCTTGTGACCATAGGTTTGGCAAGGAGCTGGTCCTGAAAGAGTTTTCAAAGATTATGCTTAGAGGTTCGGCTATGGCAGTGGATAGCTTTTTTATTCCATCAGGTCCAATAGATAGAGATGGTTTCAGATTGTGTAGTGCTTTTTCAACATTGTCTACTGTAAAATGATATGTATTAGATCATTGTAGTTTTCTGTGGTTCGACTAGGAACTACTGGGCATGATCCATTGCTTTTTACAAATACTGAGCCAAAGAGTGTGTTAAAGATGTTGGCTTTAATGGTGTCGTTGTTGCTGTCTTTACCATTAGGTCCTATCAGGGGTGGGATGGACCTTGAGTCTTTCAGTTTGTTGTTTACAAAAGTGTGGAAAGTGCGGGTGGAATTGGTGTGTAGAAGGTTTTCCTCTTGTTTAACGTGATAATTGATGCATTCAGTCTTTATCTGGTGGCATAAATTTTTGTATCGGCTTTTGAAGTTGGCAATGTGACCATGTAAATGTCCAGTATGTTCCAATATCCCACTTATTGTCAGTTTGTTCTGTTCCCCAGCATTTGGTCTGGACCCTGGGCAATGTCCAGATCAGTATGATTGTCTTAGTTCACGTCATGCTTATATTTGAGGTGAGCAAGTGAAGCTTTAGGAGGTCATACTGTGCTGTTACCACTAATTTATCCAGCCGTTCTATTTTTTTGATTTTAAAAGCCAATATATTAAAAACTGTCGGTGTGGAAGAAATATGTAAAGTGGTTAAAAAAATGGCTAAAGTACAGGACTTGAGGTAACCATCTCCTCCATCAGTAGTTTGTTAGTAATTCATGTAACAATCCATAGATATTAAAGAGTAAATATACCATCTCTATATTGCAGAACAATTTTTTTCCAGTACAATTTGCAATTCAGTTCTTGTGCATGGTGAACACTTCAAGTTTATTGATGCACTTCTCCTCGGTTATATAAGTTGTAATCAGTATTCTTTGTGCCAAGGTAGGGCAAAAATACCAGAGCAGTTATATTTGTCCCTGAAGTTATAGAATGCACACTAGTTTGGATGTGCTATTTTTATGCCACTAAATTGGCATTTTTTTTTTCCTAATTTGAATTACAGGATTACATTCATTGATTATGAATCATAAATATAAGGTCAACATTTTTTATTAGTTGAATTTTTTTAATTTGTGTTGAGAAAATATGTGACTATGTATTTTTGCATTCATATTTATTGATTTGAATTATTTTAGCTCATTAAAATGAGTTTTGTGAAGAATTAGAGAAGGGGAAAAGATGGCTTATGTCCTTTATCTCTGAGCACAAGTATAAGTAAATTTAAAAGTAAAATTTATCCATTTTGTTCAGCGTGGAGATATTTATGATTACTATAAATTCACATGGTACTAAATTTCTTAAGAAAGTTGGACTTGAGTATCCTTAAATTGCAAAAAAGTCGGTCTCTCCTTTGAAGCCCACGTTCATACAGTGAGCTCCATATAGACAAGAAATATATGTGATATTATGAAAATATTAGGTAGGGACTAACCAGAGAACCTTGCACAGAAAGGGAGAAACACATCTGTGTTCTTTCATTAATCCTTCCGTGCAATAATTGATGAAAGCTTTCATGGCATAATATTTGCATTTCACCATAAGAAACATGGGCAAGATGAATCTGGAATATGCCATCCCTGTCAGGTGATTAATGTATTTTGAAAGAAAATTGTGGCTGCTGGGGATCACACATCACCTGGGTATATAGCAGTATCATTTGGAGAAAGGGAAAAAAAAAATTCTGATATCTCTAAGCAGTCCTGGTTTCCCAATCTTACCAGGAATGGGGAACCAGAGTTTGTACTGACAACCTTTAGGGAATGGGCCCAAACCTACCTCATTCCTAGTGAAAGAGCAACTTTACACCAAACCAATTACGTTTTATGTATTATTGATTGTTGATTATTTTCTCCCTCTTTTATTAGTTTGGTTGCTGACATTGTAGTGTTCAACTCTGCCTACAATATGGAGTCATTTCTAACATCGATTGGGAAATTTATGAAATTGATGCCTGATCACAGGCCTAAACATCTGGAAAAGCTAATCAGGCCAAAATGCCAAGTCCTTTACTTTCCAATAAAGTTCCCAAATGTGAGCAGGTTAGTACCTTTCAACCATCTTCTCTAACTGGGCTCAGGTATTACTGTGCTTCATCTCACCACTATTATAATCATGGTAACCAAAGGAATATATTTCATGCCAAAATATTTTTTTGAGACAGAGCTAAGAAACTCTTAAGAGTATAATAAGTATTAAGCCAGGACAATTTGTAAGTGAGCAATGATAGAGATGGAGTGAGGGGGGGGGGGGGAATAGAGCAAAAATAGAAAGACTGCTAAAGAAAAATTACAAGTTCTCTGTGAAGAAAAATAATAATCAAAAGACATGTTTTTATATATTTGTTGGTTTAGAGAAAGCATATGGTAAATGAATAGGCTTAATTTATGGAAAGTTTGTGTGAAGAATGTTGTTTGCTGAATACTGTATGAATGATAAATGGAAAAAGTAAAGCATGCATGGATATAAATGGAATGCTTACTGAATGTTTACATTGATGAGAGACTAAAAGAAGGTTATATAACGACCCTTCATTGTTTAATGTAGGTATAGCCAAATGTTTAAGGAAAGCTTATGGTGAATATTGAGATATGTTGATTAGATACATGAATGTATATGTATTTTTGAGCACAAATGATGTCATGTTGTTAGCTGGGAATTTGAATATTGGATGTTAAATAGACTATATATATATATATATATTTGTTTTCTGAGGTTCTCGCGGGTATTTGTATGTGGATCTTTGGTTGTTCGGGTTTTCTCCCGCGTAAGATTTGAAGTATCTAGGCAACATTTCGTTGAAGTCTCATTCATCATCTTCAGGCTTCTGTCTCCGGCTCTGTGCTTCTCTCAGAGCTTCTCTGTGCTTCTTTACTCTGAGAAGCACAGAGCCGGAGACAGAAGCCTGAAGATGATGAATGAGACTTCATCGAAACGTTGCCTAGATACTTCAAATCTTACGCGGGAGAAAACCCGAACAACCAAAGATCCATATCTATCTATCTATCTATCTATCTATCTATCTATCTATCTATCTATCTTGCAATGAGAATGGGTTAAAATAATATATCAAGGACAAATAGAGTACGTAAATGGATTTGTTTATCTTGGTAGAAAATATATTTACAAAAGATGTAAAAATGGTTGGAGAAAATGTAAAAGGTTCAAATGCTGGTAGAAAAGTAATGAGTATTAGATGATCTATTGTGAGAATGAATATCAAAACAAGCAAAATTGGTTGCTTATAAAAGCTGCTTTTGTTTACTTAGTTATATGAAGCTGAAAGTGGAATATAAAAGGTGTAGTAGTTCTCCGAACTACTCAAAATTTCTGCTACCAGTTCTCCAGAACTGGTCAGAACCTGATGAATACCACCTCTGATGATACATGTACGTGGCGAGAAAAACGAATCCTGCCAGTTTACCAGACAGATGGCATAGGGAACAAAGCTGTTACAGAATCTGGTAGTCCTGCTAGAAAATGGTTAAAAAGTACCAGTATTCCAGTGAATCTTTTCCCTCTCTGTGTATGATTGGCAGAAGACAAGGTGAGAATGGGAGGCCTAGCAGACAGAATTTTCAGATCCAAAGTATAAAAGGGATTGACAAATCCAACAGGAGATGAGAAGAGACCCTTCCAGAATTAAGAGATACAATATACAATCTTAGGAATGTCAAATTACTTAATTAATACATTATCTAGTGACATTGAACAGTCCCTTTGTGGAATGCTAGTGGAAGGGAGAACTGCACAACCCTAAGGATTACTTCATGCCTCCCACACACATCTATCTGTATTTTGAGGTCATTTTTTTCCATGCACCCCATCCTGTGAAACAGTAGGGGATCCCTGGAGAAGGAAACACCCATCTTTTATCAATATTCCAACATCTTCCTCTGCCAACTACTTTAACGTCTTCTCTGATACTTGCAGAAATCTTTTATTATTATTTTTATAGGCTTTAAAATACTAGTCATTTGTAATATTCCGGATGGTGTATAGTTTTCATACTGCTTTTATATATTTGTTATTTTTAAAACCTTTTTATGTGCTGTTTCTTTTATGTATGCTTTCTATTGTTATAATAAACTATCCAGACAATTTATTTGAATAATAGGGCATCCATTTTAATGGAAGAATGCATAAACAAATATTTGGTTTGTTGGCCCAATAATCTGATTTAGTATTAGTCATCTTTTAATATACCAGTTACTAGTTGGGGAATGTCTCTGTTGGAAATTCAGTGAGTTAATTTGCTACATATTCTCCTTATATAATTTTGAAGAGTATACAAAAAGATACGGGTTTTAGCAGCTACACTAGAGAATTGTTGACATTTATATGTATAGAATGTATAAAAAGAAAATATATAGAGATTGGCCTGGTTGAATACATGCCAGTGTGGTTTTTTTTAAAAAAAAATTGGCATTGTACAATACTCTGAATACTATGTTTCAAAAAACCAATTCAATCTTTTAAGCATACATTTTACATAAGCTTTCATTCATTAAATTTGAAAATTAATTATGGCATACCTTCTGATTTACCTTCTGTATTTTATATATTGTTAATATATATATTTAAAAAAAACAAACTATTTACTGCTTGTAATAAACATTAACAGAGCAATCCATGCATAAAGTTATGCATTTTAGTTTCAGTTTTTAGTTACAGTTGCCGCTATTTATTTTTTCTAATAAGATCTTCTATTAAATAAATGTTGAATGCACCTATGGCAATTGAATGCAGTTTATTAATTTAGTCTGTGTTACTCTAGCAAAAGCAAGCTGAATGGAAATGGAGAGAAAAAGGTTAAGAAATATCAGGGCCAAACTTAGATTCATAAAGCAAGCTTTTTGCCCAGAGTGTTTTCAAGTTATTTTCAAATGGTAATTTGCTTTATCCAAACCAAACTCATACAGTGTAAGTAAGTGATTATTTGCATGAGTGACAGTCATTTGAATGCCTGTAGTCTTTTAAAAATGCATAAGTTTGCAGCGATGTCGAGGACGGGCTGGAGAACAAAATAACTAAGGTGATTTTTTTCCCTCTCTCTGTACTTTGACCTCCTTTTTACTTGTTGTTACTTCCTTTAATATGATTTGTATTTCTATATTGAAAACAAGAAAGCACTATTTTTAGGCTTGCAACTAAGATTTTTAAAAGCAAGCTTCATTTTAAGTTAAATGTTGTGATTCTGATATGAAATAAAGAGTTATTAATGCAGGATATTTGACCTAGAACTAGGGACATATCACAAGAGGAAGTAGGTAGCAATTTAGGTTAAAAAAAGAAGAAAATGAATTTATTTGTAGTGTTTCTTAACCAAAGATAACAAATGCAACTTACAAGAAAACATGACTAGATTCATTGTAACAGAGTTAGAGAAGATATACTCCAATTTCTAGCTATAATGTGAATGTGTACACTATCTTCTTTCAGAATAAATAGTGTCATGTATATATTTGTTTTTTGGCGTGTGTTTGTAAACAACAACCTCACATAATTGTTCCGTTCAGTTGCTGGTTAGTTTTACTTCTCTGATCAACTGATAAAATAAAAATAATGAAAACATTAAAAGGTCCTAATACAAATAATCAGAACAGTGCAGAATACCGTCTTCTTGCTGGTGCATCATAAGCTTGTGAGAAAAAGACTCAAGACATCTCCACCCTATCATATCCTAAGAGATAGCGACTCTAAGCTTTGTTTCTGCAATTTATATGCTTCCCAAAGGGACAGCATATAAATTGTTGAGAAATAATTCACTTGTTATACATTTTGTCTCACTATTCCTGTTATCTTAATCAATCTCGCTAAAGAGAAATCTGTGAGGATCACACTTGGGGAAAAAAAACAATCTGGCAACCCACATTTACAATCGCAATGTGTACTTGAGCTCTGTCCATCTACCTTTCTTCTCCCTCCCCCCCCGCCCACATTTTTGGCCACTGTGCACTCTACTGCCACCCACCCTGCCATCCCCACCTGACCATCACTGTCTTCTACCTTCTGCTGCTGCTGACGTACACCCAGCCAAGGTAGCTGCTGGCCCTTTGCAACACCTGATGACCATAATGACTTGTGAGGCCTCTGCAAGGCCTCCATAATGCTTCATGAGGCCTTTGTGATGAGTTTGTCAGTAGTTGCTGGGGATGTGTACTTCTCAGCAGTAGAAGGAAGAAGACTGCAAAGGGGCAGCTAGAGGTGGCAGAGGGGTGGAGAACAGGGTACCAAAGGGGCAACAATAGGGGGCAGATATTTGGGTAGAAGAGCTGGAGGTGAGTGTAGCAGGGCAGTGGAGCCCCATCTGTCAAAGGGAGCATGCTGGCCCCCCACCAGGAAGGGGCAGTGAGATGGAGCCAGCAAAAGAAGTGTGAGTTCCCCATCTAACGATGGCATGGTTTTTACCTAATGACCATAAGCAGAACTACAGAACCGCCATTGCTAATCAGTACAGTCACATGATGTTTTCTCTAATGACTGCTTTGCTTCGGGAGGGAAATTCTAGTCTCCATTGGAGTCATTTTACCTGTAGTAGTAAATGGAAAATATGGATTATCAGTATGTTTTTGCTGATTCCATTTTCTATAGAGTCAAGGACAGGTGGGTAATACCAGGGGTGGGATTCTACCAGTTTGCACCTATTCGCTAGAACCGGTTGTTAACATTCTAAGCAGTTAGGAGAACCGGTTGTTAGAATAAATTACTGGCCTAATCCTGTAAGGAAGGCAGGAAGGAAACATTCTGGTGTTGCTTATAGAAACTGCCTCTCCATTAACCCTTATTATATTTTTGGCAGGACTAGACTCAGGAACTTCTCTGGAGTTTTTTTTCCCCTTCTTTGCTGGTACTTTGCTTGTGTGGAGTGATCATTCAAAGTTACAGTGGCACTGAACAAAGTGACTTATGACCATTTTTCACACTTACGACTGTTGCAGCATCCCCACAGTCATGAGAGGCCAGGCGAAGAGATTCATGCCTCGACGTGATATTGAGTTGGCCACGCCCAGCCAATAGCATGACCACCAAGCCACGTCCA